TGTCGCGAGCTATTAAACGCAAAAATGATTATAAAATATAATTAAGTGGGATTTGTTATTCCTTTTGATGTGGATAAAAGTAAAAAAAATTTTTAATTAATTCTGTCAGAAAATGATATTTCGCTCCAAAACCGGTTGATATAAATGTTTTATTCGCTCATTTGCGTTTACGTAGCACAGCGGTTTACTTGCGCGTCTTCAATAGCTAGACCTATTTTCTCGGTGGACTCAATTATTGATCAATGAAGACCCACAATTTCATTGACCTTACTCTAGTTTGCGTACTTTAATCATACCTTTTTTCATTATATTTTGTAAAATCTTCAAATGAAAAATGGCAAACGTAAGGTCTCTTTCGCTTTTGCATACGTATCTATTTTTCAATCTTTTTCAGAAATTGTTTCGAATAAAATGGAATTAGTTACTATTTAGAAATTAAAATTATTGCTCTTTATTCCGAAGTTTTATCCAATTGACAGTAAATTAATTTGAATGGAACTATGATGAAATTATCATTTCATTATATTTGACGCACCAATAGCTTAGAAATCATTAATTTTCCTTCAACAGCCATTTCCTTGGGGCGATGGCAATCACTCGTTGTTCCATAATCCCGTAAAAAATCCAGTGCGGCCATATGGTTATGAAGTCGAGGATCCCAACGCACTTGTCAAGAAAGGCGGCAATTAGCAGAAGTGTGGGAATCGCTTGATCCTGACGGTGGCAGCTGGAAATAGCGGCGAGAGGAATCTGATATGACTTGTCTGGCTCAACGCGCGGCGGTCGTTTTAATTTTTAATCGATTCTCGCCACCCCGGGGAAAGATCAGACGTAAAATATTAAATCTGAACACGAGCGCGAAACTCTCAGTTGCGTAACGTGGTAGTAGTTTATGTTAGCTGGCTACGTCCGGCTAGCGTGTGACTCAATAATATTTATTCGTTTAAAATTACGTTGAAAATAGTTGTTCGAAACCGTTGTGTTCAAATAAAAAACTTCTGGAATTGTTGTGAAAATATTTCACGGATTTTGTTGTTTCATCTAACAATCATGAAATCTAAATGAACAAATGAACGAGTAATTTCTACGTACAAGTTTCGATTTTTTTAAAAGTATAGTTTTAGGAGAAAATGTAATTCAGAAAATTGAAAACCGAACCTCAATTTATAATATACGTCGCCACTTTCGAGCAGCAACATGTGCAGTGGAAGTTTCAAAAGGGTTAATCCTCTTGTTATCCAATGACACAACAGAACTTTGCTTGGCTTCGATAAAATGGTATCTAAGGTTTTTTTTTCATCACCTGCTAGCTAGATTTGATTAGTGCAAACTGAAAACTTGATTAGAAGATTAGATAAGAATTTTTTCTTAGAGACTTATTAGAGAAATACGATTGAATTTTTTAAGAGAAAAAATTTTGCAAATAGCTTTAATTTTTTTGGCGGGGAAAAATGTCGAAGGGTGTAAAGTGGCTGCTTCGGCGAAGACGCACACGCCGGGAGTCGCGGCATCGCGACGCCGCTTTTGGTTTCGCCTTCTCGCGGGGGCTTGCTGGCGCGCGAGTGGCGCAGCTGGTCTCGCGCCTTCTCTTGCCCGCGTTCGGGGGCGATCAATAGACCGGGAGGCAGTGGAAGAGAGGCGGTTGGCGGTGGTTATGTCCGGGCAGTGGCGAGTTAACCACCCCGGCGTCACATTTCTATTATCTAACAACAATCTCCGGTATCACGTCTCTATTATCTAGGAACCGATCCCCGGCGATCTCGCGTGTATCCGCTGTACGAGAGGGACCGGTTATCTCGGATTGCCATCGCGATTTATTCGCGATTTTGCAGACGTGCGTACGAATGCCTCGACTGCCTTTCGCGCATTTCACCGTAGACCGCGATTATCATTAGGTTCATTCTTTATCAGCATGATTACATATGATTGTCGAGGATTTTTTTCTCACACAAATGTTGCCACATGATTTGTTTTATATGAGAAAGAAATTATTATTTCCCCTTAATTATTAGGACATTCAAGACGCCTCAGAGAAAGGCAGCAACTAATTGTTCACAGTAAGATGTGAACTATATCGCATTATGTTTTATCTGTATACACACACATATAAATATAAAAATATATATGTATTCCAATGTATTGCGAATGCAAAATATATACACAGATAAAAGCGCATTGCACAATCAGGATATCAAAGTTCTATGAAATATATTTTACATTTGACTGACCATTTATTTTCCTTTTTGTCGTGCGCAATAAGCAAATCTCGTAAATTTTCCCAATAATTAAAACACACGGTAATCAAGATCTCCAACATCAGTATGTAAATTTTTTTAACTATGCAAAGCGCGCGAACCACGTGTGTAAATTATCGCGCGACCGTAATTTACGCGCGCAAATCTGTTCTTTGTTAAACATGTTTGTTCATTGGCGCCATTGAATTTACGGTCCTGCCGCGGGCTCGTCGGGTCGCGGAGCACCAGCTCCGGTTGGCCGGCGACGATTTCGCGGGTTCGACGAGTCGCGCGTGCGATCATCGTGCGCCGTCAATCGAGCAGCCTCCGTCGCTCCGTCGTCAGTCGGTGGCGACGCGTCGCCGTGTTCGCGTGTCGTGTTTTTGTTGTGGTCACTTCGTTTTTCCGTCGTCGTGCCATCTCTCATACCTTTTATTTACGTTTCCACCGCCCCCTCTTCGGAGATTGTGACATCATTCGCATCATTTGACGTCATTGTTTAACCCTTTTATCGGTAAATTAAATTTTCGTCTTTGGTGAAAAGTGTGACAGTTCGTTTCTCTTTGCTCGTTCAATCGATATAAACTTGTGGTATGAGACACTTGTGCGATGGAAATTCTATTGTTTTTCTCTATTGAGTGCGACGTATAATTATTTCTATCCGGTATTTATGTCTCTTTTCATTCTTTTATATTGTGAGCAATCTGTTAATTTAGCGTTGCCATGATGTTGTCATTTTTGCATATTCGGTTTTGAAAATACCTGCGATAAACAAGATGAATTAACATCACGTTGATTTCTATTGTCGAGTTATTATCGACATAAATGTTTTCTTCACGAAGCAAATAGTAGATTTTGCTTGTGAAAAATATAGCATTGCATTGTTGCCGATTTTCAAAATTGTTTATGCTCGAAGAAATTAGTTGCAAAAATTGCTGGAGTGCCTTTTCATTGTAATTGACTATAGTCTATTTTATTTAAAGCTTATTTCTGCTTGGATTGATAATTCCGCTCGATTAAACATTTCAATATGTTATTCACGAGAAAGTTATAATCGCGAAGCCTTTTAATAATTATCTTCCTGAAAAGAAGCCGAGGATGTGATAAGCTCGTCCATTGAAAATCGCGCAGAACTGGAGCACGTCTTTTATCCCGCTTTTCACGCTAAGAGCAACAAACGAAATGAACTTGGAACTATTGATCAAAGTAATCATCGTGCGTTTGCCGTGAACGTGATCGAAAGTTTCCGAACTGGTGGTGCGACACGCGTGCTCTTGTGCAAGTCTCATGTATATTTGTTTCCCCGAAGTAAATATTCATTGAAACACAAAGACTCGCGAAAACATTTCTCTTAAAAACTATGCCGCGCACTGGTATCATGAATGATAACGTTCGCATGTTATCATCCGTCAACCGCTTCCGATCAGCAAAGAGTAAATAGACGTGCGGAATTTACAGCGCGACGATTAAAGTTTGCAATTGTGTGGGCGGTGTGCATGCGGGAGCGCGATCGTACTTTCGAGTTTCGAATATGCGGGGATCTTGCAGTGTGGATAATCTGTGCGCTGCTGCATAATTGCCGGTCGCTAATTTCGCGCGCAATGTAAAATTTAAACACGCACGAGCGTCGTCGGGGTCGAGCGGCGTATAAATAAACGTTTTGCGCAACGTTTTGTTTATTGCTTCTGCCTCGACGCGGAAACGCGGCTGTTGTGAATCAACCGCCGGAAATGTATTTGTAGATTGATGAAATGATTTTTTTCCGTCTAAGAATTGGAGAAGCGCCGATTATATAAATAAAATATAACAGGGAATAGAAAATTGGCGAATTTCTGCGTGAAATTATAATGAACTTCAAACTCAATAATTCCGAGAGACTTGTTGCAAGATTTCGTAATTAATTAGCAGAAATAAAAGAGTACATTATTTATTACAGAAGTAAAAATAATTCAAGCGGGAAATAAAAATATTGGAATTTACAGGAATTCATATAATTATGAACGAGATAAATATTAGTTTTTGATTCGAGATTCGGAATACGAAAAGACAATGGTGATTCATCGATTGCAATTGCGAAAATGCAATTGGTGACACACAAACTTGAATCTTTTATTCCTCCAATTATTTTCTGTTAATGCTTACTTTTATGACTGAGCAGCACAATTGTGAATATTTCCAGCACAGTAAATATTCATGAGAAGGATATTTAGTAACTTGCGCAGCAGCTTGCGATACAATCGACGCCGTTTGTGTCTATCACAGCGATCTATCAAGAGATATTTCGCGACTAAGCACTTGTTGTAGAACCTAAGTCATGGAAATTCCAGCAGTTACTCAAATACAATAATAAAAGTTTATAATTTTTTAATTTTTTTATAGCAAACGATTCTCTTTGCGATTATTCCGCAGTCCATAAAATCTAATAGAGAGAAGAGAACTTTAGTTATCAGAATATCTGAATAATAATATAGAATAATCTAAAAATAGAGAAAAATTTGAGAAATTTAGTCAAGATTGAGATAAACAATTTCTTTTATCAGCAATATTTAGTAACGTTCCGGAAAATGATAGTAAAAAGCTACTTTATTTTGCCTCATTTTTGCCAGTTTCTTTTCGAACGCTCTCATTGTTAGGATTTGACTAAGAAAAATGTCAGAAAGATGAGCGAATTTTCGCTTGCGTAGCAGTCTCGGGTACCTTGCGTTGAAATTGTTCGATTATGGAACGAAACGCGACTATGGAGACATTCTCTTCCTCTCGTTGCAGAGGATTGCGCTTCACGACGTAAAATGGAGATATTACTCGTGATTCCCATCGAGAAGGCTCTCCGGAGATGTTGCGGAGACGTCGAACGCGACAGCGTCCGGTATCCTTGAAGGAGAGATGCACTTTGCGAAGATGCACGGGTGACAAAGCACAGGACAGGCCACGACAAAATGTTGATCAAGGAGTATCGCATACCGCTACCTCTCACGGTAGAGGAGTATCGAATCGCTCAGCTGTACATGATAGCGGTAATTATCGTTAATCAATTGCATTGACTTGTAGCGCGGAAAATCTGCGGTTTGACCATTTTACAGGATTTATTTATATTTTATGTTTTCTGTGAATCTAGCAAAAATATTTAAACGACTGTTGATCGCGTTAAACATTGCTGGAATCGTGAAATTCTCTAGTTTTTTTTTTACGAGATTTTCTTTTATTCGTTCTAACTTGCTTTCGTATTTGTGATTTTACATTATACGGAATTATATCGAATATTGCACATCAATTATCTATTAATAAATTATATATTTCAATTAATTATGTTATAATAATTATGTCATTAAAATAATAGTAATACATCAATAATATTAAATAATAATTATTCTCACGCGATTAACCGGTTATGAAACATATTACATATTGAAACGTTGATTCGTTATTTTCAGCAATGTGATATTATTTTTACTCTGCAATTGCGTACTTCGTAACTTCGATCATCTTATTTTCTTCTCTTGTCTTGTCTTTATATGTTTGCGCTCTTGCAAGCAAGCACCTGTAGGGAAAGGTTGTTTTCCCGCTCATAAAGATAAGGATAAAGATCTTGCGGTCAAGGACGAGTGCTTCTTAAGTGATCAATAACCCTATAATTCGCGCAGAAAAAATCTCGAGAGGAGAGCAAAGGCGCCGGTAGCGGCGTGGAGATCCTCGAGAATGAGCCGTACACCGACGGTCCGGGTGGCAGCGGGCAATACACACACAAGCTCTACCACGTGGGCAGTCACCTGCCAGGGTGGCTGAAGAGTCTGCTGCCCAAATCGGCGCTAATCACCAAGGAGGAGGCGTGGAACGCCTATCCGTACACCAAGACTCGCTTCACGTGCCCGTTCGTGGAGAAGTTCTACGTCGAAATAGAGACGTACTACTTCCCGGACGACGGCCACCAGGAGAATGTCTTCAATCTCAGCGGCAGTGATTACAGGAACAGGATCGTGGGTAAAGAGGAGATTCACTTGGACGAAATTATCTTCAATTCCGTCATAATTTAATTATAATTTTTAACCGCAATTCATAATTTACTCGACAGTCTGGAAAAAGTCATACTACTCTTTGCAATGTAAATGTGTTTATCGCGACGGTGCATGTTTAGATTCACTTAATTATTAGATGAATATTTCGGCTATCGTTTTCCAACGAAATTATAACGATTATTCGATTTGATATTCGAAAATAACGCGGCACCACGCTTGCTCACCGCTGACTCTGCAACGATCTGTTTCCAAGACGTGATCGACATCGTGAAGGATCAGCCGTACGGGGCCGATTATCTGAAGGAGGAGGATCCGAAGCTCTATGTGTCGGAGAAGAGCGGCAGGGGTCCGCTGGAGGATACGTGGCTTGAGGATTATTGGGCCGATGTGGAAGTATACATCCCCCTTATTCTTTATATTCTTTTTTTTCTGTCTCTTTTTCTCTCTTGAAGAGTTTACACCTCTCCGCTTAAGTAGTTTTCACCGTTGATACATTAGCGATTCTCTCGCCGTCTAGGGAAAGCAACAGCCAACGCCGTCGGGAAAGTCACTAATGTGCGCGTACAAGCTATGCCGAGTAGAGTTCCGTTATTGGGGCATGCAAACGAAATTAGAAAAGTTCATACACGACGTAGGTTAGTACCGTACATGCTCACCTCTCTGCCTTATCTTGCCCTTTGGATGCCGGGCAATTGACATTAATGAGATTCTGATATTTTATCTCAAGTATAATCGCGTAATCGTCTCTCGATCGAGCCATTCGGTTTGGAGAAGATTACTTCCGACTAATTTTTTGGAGAAAAATTATCTCTGAGAAGATGTCGCATGCTCTTTTCTCCGTGATCAAAATTTGAAAAAGAACTTTGGCTTTTCTATTTTAAATATACACATGTTTTTCTTCATAGTGTGAATTAAGAATTTTCAATCTCTCTTTTCGTGCGCAAAATGTGTCAGAATTCGTGCACTTTGTCTGAACTATTGATACTAATTAGTGAGTGGAAACTTTTACTCTCAGCAATAAATTATGTGCGATTAAAAGGTAAGAAAATAAGAAAATTGTGAATTCAAAATGAATTTAGAATAATAATCTAATTCGGATTTATTTTAGAATATTAAAGAGTAAAAAAATTATAAAAAGAACATGACATAAAGTTATAAAAAAATTGCACGATCTCTGATATATTTTGTATATCGAAATTTATATTTATTCACTTTTCACGTTTTTAAATAACAGCAATGTTTCAATTCCAGTTTGCCGAATTTAACTTGAAAATATATTTAATATATTTAATTTTAAAATCAACTTTAGTTTTCATACAAAAAGCCCGGCAGCTAAAGGGTTAACTCTCTCGATCACGAATCTTTACTTTATTTAAAAAATCTTTAAGTTAAGACACTTTACAAACTGAATTATTAATCGAAAATCAATTATGAATTAAATTACGGTTTAAATACTCGCTGAGGAAAAGTTAATCAAATTTATTCCAGATTACAGGTTGCGATTTTACTGTTTTTTTTTCCTCAATATTTCTTCTGAATTCTGATATCATGGATATTTTAATTTCTTCTATATTTCTTATCTTATCTTTGTCTTTTAATTTTTATCTTTACGCTGGAGGAAGAAAAATTCTCTTTCAATCTTTTTCAAAAGTCTATTTTGTTGAATTAGCACGATTTAAGACTGTGTATTTGTTTATTGATTCACTCTTACTCCCGACTGTAGCGAGCGTCGCTGCTCGCTGTTGGAACATTTTTTTTCTCCCCGCGAACACAAGAGCTCGTGATCGAGAGGGTTAATTTTAACCGGCGCATCCGGTCGGCCGTGCGTGAGACGTATTAAGGTCGGTTCCAGCTCTGCGGAAGGTGATGGTGCGGGCGCACAGGCAGGCCTGGGCCTGGCAGGACGAGTGGATCGGTCTGACGATGGAAGACATCAGGGAGATCGAGCGGCAGACACAGCTTGCGCTGCAGCGGAAGATGGGCCTGAGCGATTCGACGGACGAGGAGCTCGACGGCGAGGGTCAGGAGACGGGCGCGACGGCGTCGGCGGCGACGAACGCCGCGTCGCAGAAGTCGGAGGCCGCCAAGACGCTGGCGGTCACTCTTGGCAGCATCGAGAAAAACGAGGATGCGCAGAGCCCGCCGTCCCTCAGGAAGCCGTCCGACATTCCCATCATCAACACCGCGGCTAGCTCCGAGGGCGAGATCAGCCCCGAGGACTCGCCGGTCGATCTCAACGAAATCAAGTAAGATTATTGCAACTGAGCTTACGCGTATTATCTGTAAAACGAACTTGAGTCTTTAGAACGCTCTTTGTTATCGCTTCAAATATATTTAGGAACATGTGTTTAGAGATAAGTTATGGTCCGATAAGTCGCGGTGCAATTGCAGAACAAAATATATACAATTTGTGTCATCAAAGCTGCCGTCACAAACGTATGAAATATATTTTTTTCTCCGTTCATTGATAGTTAAAAAAAAAAATTCTTTATTGCATATAAAAGGATTTATTTGATTGTGCATTTTTGCACGCCTGAAACGGTCCGTGTGGTGTTAAAACTCGATTACGCGATATCGACTGTATTGTGATATCAGGCACTAATATCGTCTTCATTGTGTGTTTTCTTAAAACGATAAGATATAATCACGAATGCCGAGCACACTTTGCTGACATTAGTAACTCGTGACTCGAACCGATTGCCACGGAGAAACGATAACAAAGTAATATAATAACGATTGTTTTCTTTTCAAGATGTAAATTTTATTCACATGGTTTTGGCGAATTTGACTAAATACGAGCTGCATTGTAGAACCGCGATCGCCGATGATAAAGCGAGCGCCAAAAAAGAGTGGAGGAAGAACGTATCCCTGCATTCGCCGAATTCCAACAAGAGCTTCGACATTCAAATCGCGAACTGGAGGATGGAGAGCATCGTGAGGGAGTCCGAGTCCGGCAGCGACGACGAGTTCTTCGACTGTCAAGGTAAGACCCGCGATGACGCATGGGCACGTGCCAGCATGCCTGTGATAATCTAGAGAAGACGTTGACGACACGTTTCGCTACAAATGAATGATAGCCAAATATTAATTCCGCGACACATTGCTTTCCATAATCGACTTTAACGAATTAACGGGCTCCGCGATGGATTCTAATAAATCTTGAACAATTTCTTCTTTCTTTACGTGTTCAAGTTTTATCAACGGCAGATCAGTCGGACAATTTATTACTTGAAGATACTCTGAATAATACGCGAATGTAAAATATGAATAATTCTCTTGCAAGAAATTTTTCTCGCAATCTGACGAATAGCGCTTGTTTTGTCCTTGTCAATTATGCGGAAGGAGTGTGTCCCGCGGCGATGCATAGATAACTGACGTAGTGAGGGCAGCATGTGCTGTGTTTTTTATGTGTATCCTCTTTGTTTTTTATGTCGCACTCCATACTGCAGCCGGGTTCATTATACCTGTTATACGCAAAGGTAGGACACGTAGAGCGTAGTAATCGAGATAAGTTGCGAGCGAAGGGAGGAGACGTCATATTTCATGTCGGATAGATCGGACTATTTGGCGCATACAAATCTTGCATCGACGTGACACGCGGCTAAAATTAGAATCGAGCATGAGAATCCGCGAAAAGGCTAACATGCCGCATGTGGCAGCATGGCTACGTAGAGTAAAGAGAATCGATTGACTTTAGCGGCAGAACTGACTCGTGTTGCACAGTTGGAGCTAGCTTTATATAGATATTACATTTAGATGAAACTTCTAATAACTTCTATATAATCTAGAGTACGAATCTTAATCGCAATTAAACTTCCATTTGTTCCATTTTCGAATTTTCTCGCAAGTTACATTATTAGAAAGGTTCTTCGTAGCATTGTTGAAAAATTGTTATTTCGTAAGATCGTGTTCGCTTTGAAACGTTTTATTATAGAATGATTACTATTGATCTATATATCACTTACCGAGTCCTGTTTCGAATCGCGATTAACCGGAGAGACACATTGCATAAGCAGTGTTAACGTTTCTGATTATACAGAGGACTTTGAAGATAGCTCTTCATTAGCTAAATGGAGTTCTTTGGATCTTCTAGCAGAAGGGGAGGACATGACTGTGCAGACACCATCCGCAGCGAACGAACAAGGTGCGTTAAAACAATATCCTCGTAATGATCAAAATATTGCAGAATTAAGTTATTCTGTCCACTAATTTTTTTTTTTTTTTTTATTAATTTTAAACTTAAATTTCTAAGTGTGGTAGAACATTTTGCGCGAGATTCAAGCCATTGTTTTCCTTCTTCTAGTAATAGGAATGTCGTGTATTTTCAGAAGATACAATATTTTCACCTTCATATCTGAAACGCGTCGTCAGCGAACGCAGCAGTAAGAGATTACAGATCACCACATCGGCCAGCATCGACGTGTCATGTCCAACATCCCCTCAGCATTCTCCCACGCATCAACCGTGCAAAATTACTGTTCTAATTATAGTGGTACACGGCGGCAGCGTTTTAGGTAAGACATCCTTTCTGATTCTTATAATAGATAGAAAAATTACACTGTTCGTATAAGTTCGATATATATATGTATTCTTTTTGCTACGAAATCAGATGATGAGAATTGGATTAAGGAGATCATTATATATATGTACATATATCGTAGGATCAGATTGATTTTGAATTTGACGTCTCTGTGTTTTAGACGCTAATGTCGATTTAACGGCGAAAAAGTCCGATATAACGACATTCCGTGGAGCCTTTGAATCCGTTATGAGACAACATTATCCAAGTATGGTTGGGCATGTGTCTGTTAAATTTGTCGCCTGTCCTTCCGTTTGCACCGAGGGCCTTGGAATTTTGTCAAGGTAATATCTTTGACATTTAAATCTACAAATGTCATCTACAAATGTTATCCATCATCACGAGATATTGGTCTAACAATTTCACATTCCAGACTATTTAATTGAAACAATTTTATTGCAACACAAAGCAGGATTTTTATTTTAATAAAACATTCTATATGAAAACGTTCGCTAAATTTTATTTTAATTTTTTTATTTGTTTTAGCGCTGGCAGTAATTGATTCTATCACGGAAAATTATTTTACTGCAATCTAATAATTTTTATTGTACAGCTTGAGTCCATACAGCTTCGATGTATCGCCTTCGTGTATGGACGCTCCGCAAGTGACGCACGATACCATTCCGATTGGCGCGATTCCACTGCTGGTGAGCTCGAGTTCCGACTATCAGGACGCGGTATCGCGTGTGGTGATGAATGCCAACCAGGTGTACCACGAATTCATCAAGAGCGACGAGGGCAAAGGTTTCATCGGACAAATTTGCTTCGTGGGCGACTCGGTAGGGTCGATCCTGACCTACGACGCCCTGTGCAGGGCGACGCAGCACTCAAGGCACAGCAGCGAAAACAGCATCCTGGAGGGCAGCGGTCAGCAGAGCAATGACAACGGTGGAAACGAAGACGGCAAGCATTTGTCCGCACCGTCTCCCAGAAGAAGGTCTTCCGGCACGAGGTAATCGACTGTGACTACGCTAACGATATCGAGTTGCAAGATAATTTGTTCATCGCTACAAAAGTGTTGATTAGTTCTCGTTTATTTGGGAAGTAGAGATCGCAAAGAAGGAATGAGAGCGGATTAAATGAAACTAAATATTTGAAAATTGTTTCAGTTATTTCTTATATTTTATGAAGCTCCTTATTTTACATCAAGTTGAATTAACGTGCAATTTGCAGTGACAATCCGCATCATACCAAGCTGGACTTCGAAGTGGGTGACTTTTTCACTTTCGGCAGTCCGCTCTCACTGGTCCTGGCTTACAGAAAGATTGCTGCATCCGCTGACAGGAACAGCTTCATACCCAGACCGTTAGTCAATCAGATGTACAATCTGTTTCATCCCACGGATCCCGTGGCTGCGAGATTGGAGCCTTTGATCTCGGCGAGGTTCTCGTTAATTCCGCCGGTCAACATCGCCCGATATCAAAAGTATCCGCTCGGCAACGGCCAGCCTTATCACTTGCGTGAGTGCATTAGGATATCTCAAAATATCCAAAAACTTTGAGATTTGACCGAAAAAAAATTGAAAGAAATCTCTACACATATATACAGATTTTTTGATAAACTGTCCGGATCTTTTGAATTGTAAAATTGCATTTTCTAATTGAAATGAATAATTTCAATATTATATCTATATTTTTTCTAGTTTAATAAATTTGCAGCAATTACGCTTAAAAATGATTTACACAATTCATGCGAACTTTGTTTTCATGTAGACGCAGCTGTGATGGCAGATTGTAAATTTGATTTCAGTGGAAACTATCCAGACGAACCCGCAGCTATTCGCTGACGGATTGAACGTTCCCAATATACAATTGTCGCATTTAAGAAGATTATCCGATATATCGCTTCAAAGTACAATGTCGGGCATTATCGATAATGTTCCTCTGCAGGCGGTGTCTGCCCGTAAGTGGAAATTATTTATTATATCGCTGTCTGCTCGCGCGCGACATCTAATGTCAATGATGCAGTTTTGTACAGAGATTTGAATTTATATTTTTAAGAGAAGCATCACCAAATTTGTCTAAAACATTTACTATCTCTTTTCAGTGACTCAAAAATGGTGGGGCACCAAAAGGCTAGATTACGCGCTTTACTGTCCAGAGGGTCTCGCTAATTTTCCTACAAACGCCTTGCCGCATCTCTTCCATGCTAGTTATTGGGAGTCTTCGGACGTGATCGCGTTTATTTTGAGGCAATTGGGCAGATTCGATTTGCCATTGCTTGGCAACGACGAGAAAGATCTCAGCTTCCGTCCAGGTCAACCCAGAGAAAAATGGAATAAAAAGCGTACCTCCGTTAAACTTAAGGTTTATTTCTTTGCTAATTCAAGCTTGATCTTAAGTGGTTGTTTAACGTGTTGCTAATGGCATAAATGTATTTCAGAATGTTGCTGCCAATCACAGAGCGAACGACGTCATCGTGAGGGAAGGCGCGCCACAAATACTAATCGCTAGGTTCATGTACAGTCCTATTGATATGATAACTTTAACAGGTATGAACGTAATTAAAGAGTAATTCTTTTGAGAATTAATTGACTTTTAGAAATAAACGGACAAAAATTTTTTTACAAGATGTCTTTTGTCGAAATTTAGTGTATAATTTAAATAACAATTTTATAGAGGTTAGGCATTTAATTTTGTTAAGATTAATGATACAGAGAAACAAATCACACTTTATTTTATATCGCTCAAAAAATATAAAATCTGTACGTAACATTTCTCATTCCATTGCAGGCGAGAAAGTGGATATCCACATTATGAAAGACGCACCGGCAGGCGAGTGGACATACATCTCCACCGAAGTAACTGACAAAAATGGTAGAGTAATATACAAAATACCAGATGACAAAGCGCTAGGCTACGGACTCTACCCAGTGAAGATGGTTGTAAGGTAATTTATTTCGAGACGAGCTTTTGTAACTAATTAAAACTATTTGAAATTGGCGTACCAAATTCTGGAAAAAAAAATATTAATCTGAATATATGTGCGGTGTGTTCACAGGGGAGATCATACATCCGTAGATTTTTTCGTGGCTGTGATACCACCGAGAACCGAATGCGTGGTTTTTAGCATAGACGGCTCATTCGCCGCCAGTAGGTCGGTGAGCGGGAAAGATCCGAAAGTTTGGGCTGGTGCCGTCGACGTTGTGAGGTGAGGAATCATCCAGACAGTTCTGCAAACTCTTTTTAACTCTTCAAGTAGACGTGCGATTTCTTCACTAAAAAGATTAACGGACTGGGTAAAGTTTCTTCTTTATTGACGCTTGCGTAGGCATTGGCAAGAACTGGGTTACCTCATTATTTATATTACTGCGAGACCGGATATGCAGCAGCAGACAGTGGTTTCCTGGCTGTCGCAGCATAACTTTCCTCACGGTCTCGTCTCCTTTGCCGACGGCCTGTCCAGGGATCCGCTCGCTCACAAAGCCGCCTACTTGAATAAACTTGTGAAGGTTCGTAACAATAAGGACGGAGTCTAATATTATACATATGTGCAACTAACAATAGAAATAACAAATATTCATGTATGACATATTTTCAGCCAGCAAATTCTTTTTTGACAGATATTTGCCAGTTGCATGATAAAATTCATGATAGAAACAAAAATCGATAGACATTTACTTACGAATAGTTTTTTAATTTTGATTTTAAATTCTGTCCAATCTGTAATTCTTTCCACATTTCTTCAGTCTGTGTAATAGAATTCTGTGACACACTAACGATCAATTGTATGCCATTTAGGAGCACGGCATGCTAATCCATCAGGCGTATGGCAGCGAGAAGGACATCAGCGTGTACACGGCGATAAATCTGAAACCGAGCCAGATCTTCATTATCGGCAAGGTATCCAAGAAGCATCAAGTCCTGGCGACAATACTGTATGACGGCTATGCCGCTCATTTGAGCATGCTGCAGGCGCACGGGGGTTCGCGTCCTGCCCAGGGCAACGCGCGTATGGTGATTCCCAGAGGTCAGTTCGGCTTGCCGGGACAGAATCCCTCCCTGCGTCGACGAAGGTGAGTTTTCCATAACTGCACATTCTGACAATTTCCTAATGAAAAGTCTCCCACGCTTCGCTAAAGGATTAGATATTTTTTCGTCGGATTATGCTATCGTTCGTCACGTTGAAAGCGTCGTAGTTGTGCATTTACTGTGTTCTGGGGTCAGTTGCACCCGTAGTCACGATGATTGATTTCCGATTAAAGATCCCAATCGCTTCTGCTTATTTCGTATTATCCTCACATTATTTTTTTAATTCTGTAATTGCGATAATATAAATGTTAAACGCTTTTGTTTTTAAATTGTTACTCGAGTGCTATTGTGCTACATTTTTTTTTCAGCGACAATATAAATGTTGGGAAGCTTTTGTTCTTAAAACGTTGTTACCTTAATGCTATTGTGCTGAATTAAAAAGAAATTTTATCTTGTAACGAATAATCTAATAGATGCGAAATCAAGTTATATTCAATTTTCTTTTTTATATAATGATTTACCAGAGGGTGGAAAAATAGGAGACAAATTCCATTATCTTAAATTGCTCAAGAACGATTTGACATTGGTGTAACTGACCTTTGAAGCCGCCACAAGAGAAAAATGCATCGCGAGAACAGGTTTATTCTCTCAACCCTCTGTTGCTTGATAGTATTTTCAACGCCATTTGAGAACTCTTTCTTTATAAAAATTTCTTTTGCTTCAATCATTTTTTTTATTAACATTATTGCGTTATCTTTGCTAAAAAATCAAATTGTCATTTAATCTAATAATTGTGCACACAAATTTGAGAAACAAAAAAATTTAAAGCAACCATTGCTCTGATTAAATTAGACAATCGATCAAAATTTATTCTACATTACATGATAGAAAAAAAAAACAGATGATAATTATGATATAAAAGTGACGTGAAATTTTAACACTCAACATCTCAGCGCAGATTAGATTCCTTCTCGCACATTTTTATTCAGACAAGAAAGGGTTGAGAAAGGACACCCTGTACGGCGATTGCGCGCGCGGAATAGCCGTAGCCGTTCAGCGTGGTACAAGTGTGTGTGTCCTCTGTATGTGTGAAATCGAGCACCGGCTATGTTCCAGTAACGACACAGCGGTGAACTCCCCGGCGCGCAACAGCGTCTACTTAAAGCGGAAAATCTACCTTAGTCACATCTAACACACGCCTATAATCTACGTACAATTTACTTACTCACATTGGTAATTATCTATAAACCGTCTACTGCTTACTCTTCGTCATAGGCGCCGATCGTTGTTCTCTGATTTGTGCCGATAAACACAATCGGCTGTCAATTATAAGATACTTTTACATTTACTGAATTGAATATTCAGCTTGAACTTATATATTGCGAACCAGAACTCGGCGCTTATGTTCTTCGCTTTTCCCTAAATCTCTCGTAGGTGTTACAGCGTTATCTTATTGGTAGAAAGATTTGTAATAATTTTCTTAAACGATTGTTTACTACTATTTTTTGATACGCAAAGAATATAGATGATATAATAATTGTAGAAATTTAGAAATTAAGAAAGTACAATTACATCCGCTTATTAAAACTATACCATACTTGCAACAATATTTGCATGAACATAAATTTAGACCATCATTTTCTTAATGATATTAAAATAAAATTAATTGGACCGACTTATCGGCACGAGCGTAGCAGCAGAGTTGTTCACAAGTTAAAACATACATCCAAATTATAACATTGAAAATAATTATTTGACAAATAATTATTACGCACATTAAACTTTTATTTATTTTTTATGCAAATTTAAGAATACATATCTAATCCTATATATTTATATGTAATAACCATAAATGTTAAAAATTGCAAATCTTTTACGGAAAGATTTTATTTCAAAGTTTCTATGTGCGTTGCATTACACAATATTTCACAAATAACAGATAACTGAGATAAATAAATGAAATTTTTCTACCATTAACGTGCGCAGCACCGACCACATCCCCACGCTGTCTAGTCAATAAAATGAGGAGGATTGCAGACCGAATTTCGTTGACCATCTCTTAATTGCAGGTACCTGCTATGAGGATATGTCGCGTTGTCAGCGTAGTTAAATATCACTCTGTCTCTATCTCTCACTCGGTGAAAAAGCTGTTGTCGCCATCCTGCGCTCAAACTTATTGTTTGTCTATCGGCTAGTACATATGTCTCCAGGATTTGTGGTTCAATCCGCTCTATGACTCGTCGCTCTCTAGATACGCCCGAGCAGTAGAGTCGTTTTCGTAAACCCTCCTCGAAACGAACCGGTCTCACTTTAGCGACGAAGGTAAACCGCCGTCTCACGTTCCGCTTGAAACTTGTTAGATGAGTGTTTTGTGTTATAAAATGCTAGATCCACCACGTAGATCGCTCGTGTCTACATGTGATGTCGTCTCTTATCCGATTGAATTTGGACGACAGCATTCTGCCTGAAGTTTTTAATCTGGCTAATCTCACAGCTTTAAATTCAAGCGTAGATCGTAGATTCACAGCTTGCAGTTGCTATATTGCAATTAGAGGACAGTTATATATATGTATACATTTTTTTTTTTTTTTTAATTCTGTAATCGACGCTTTAATCCTTTTAAGCTGGATGAAAACGTGATTTATGCAATTAATGTAAATCTTATAGAATAATATTAATATTGAATTTATAAATCTTATTTGATTATAATTTTAATGCATTTAAAATAATGGCCAATTTTAATTAAACATATCTATCTGCTTAATTTAGCTCTATTTAGCTCACATGAATAATATCTTAATTGAAAAAATTGTAATAGAATTTGCGAAACATCTTTTGACCACCGTGCTGAAATTTATATATAAATCAAGTAAAATTTAAGTAAGCAAAAAGATTAATCGAATATGGTTAACATAGTCGATCAGGCTGAATCGTTGTTTGTGTAAAAAGAGATCACGATAACACGAATGAGGATACGATAGATTTACAAGAGATGTGACACCATGCACGATTATTATACATGTGAATGTGCAAGTTTCGAGAATCCACGGACAAGCGCCGGCCTTATCATTCGATCATGCATACTGCGCTGCGCTAATCACAATACACGCGCGTTATAATTATTCTCGTCGCTCTGAGCGGTTCTGGTTCGTTCATGGCACTGCATTTCATAGGTGGCGGAATTTCGGGACAAACGATAGTGTACGCAAATAAGGGAAGCCGGCGAGAATTACCGAAAATATATCCAAATGTAAGATGGACTCCAGGCAGTTCAAGAAGATATTTTAATGTGTATTTAATATATATTCCACTGACTGTGGAAATGGATCATTTACTCAACTATGATTTGTTCTGTGAATTATCTCGTATAATTGTCTTACATAATTGTTATATGTTAATTGTTCTATACTTGTTAATTGTTTTGTCACCTCTAGAAAAAGAATCGTTTTGCCCTTTTCGCTCATCTACTTCTGGTTATAGTCATAGTGCTGGCAGCAAGTGAGAATGCAAGGACTAATTTATAAAATTGATTGCAGCTTGCCAAACTTTCGTCTAGTGAATTATTATTTCAGATGTGGAATTTCACATAATTACGTAATTACGCGAGAAAAAGTCTGCATTCCTTGAAATTTTACTTGTAATTACAAACCGGAGAGTGAAGGATTAATTGTAATTATCTTTATAAAGGCGCCTGCCAGGGCTATGCGGGTTATATTTAGAATTGAACAACAGAAGCTTCGCGACAGCTCTGAATTGTTTCGCTGTTTAGTTGAATGCTTAGTGCGATCCCACGCGTCATTCGAGGACGACAGATTGAAATGATCGTCTTGCTGTCATCTACGGGGCGGACAGGTGTCTTCCGTTTACATCCGGTTCATTATTCATTAACGCTTCACAGAGATGTTTACGTCACGCTTTCCAACAATACAATGTAAAACACGCCGCTTACCCACTGTGCTGTTTTCATTCATCCGCTTTCAATGGCGATCTGTACTCACTTCCCTCGTAAGTGGGGGACTTAAACGTCAATACGAAACACACAAAAAATTTATTCTACGCAGGATGCAGGACAAAATATGTAAAGAAAGGAAGTCCTCATCAAGTTTGCAAACAGCGTTATTTCCGTTGAAATTCGATATTTATCAGATATTGAAAGTTTAAAAGGTTTTAGCACGTTTTCAAAAAATTCAAGTTAATAGAATAATCCTTCTTTTATTTTATATAAATTTTCATGTATTTGTTTTAGAGTTTATTTAATTTTGAAAAGATTAAAATGTTCTAAATTAAATGAAATTTTTGTTGAAAAAAGGAAGAATTTTACATGTTTTTGGCTGCATTCTGCGGATTCCTGCATCTGTGGATATTATCTTATATATATATAGGGTGTCAAAAGAGGATGTGTGTGTTACCTGCAATGACAAACAGAAATATATACTGTGCATTGACAGACCGCAAATCATGAAATGGATCATTAATTGTTTTCAGCCTTAGGTGTGATAGAAAGAGGAATACATGCAGTATTGCGCTTTCATCCGAATGTGAAAAGAATAAGAAACATATATCACCGCTGCTTATTGCACACGTCGCACATCGCAAAAGCGAATTGCACACTGCCTGGAAAATAATCCAGTCAATAATTTTGCAGTGTTGTCGAATTATTATTTTATTGATTCGTGAATTTTTTAACTGACTGTTAATCGTCTTTCAATATTAATGTCACACATCGTTATTATTTGTACTTATGCCACTTTTAATGTTACAGATAAATTATTTTCTTTGATCTCTGCAATAATTTGACTTCCAGGACCGATTTACAATTCGTTTTTTTCTTCGCACCAGAACGATAGATTTTCAATTAGTGCGAATAGTTCCAAGAATGCAATATATGATGTCCGTCTAACAATTGCATTTCACGTACGGTCAATCGCGCTGGCTCGAATGACAATACGCTGAATGCACGAGTGGAAAATGTTCATCGAGCTGACGTCGAGAGAACGCGCCGTTTCAATCTTTTCTTTTCATTGTAAACTCGAAGCTAAAACGAGATAAAATTTCGTCTCCAACAAATGAATCGAGAATGCAATTCTCACAGTTAAAATAAATATATATATAAAATATTTCGTACAATAAATGTAAGACGATTTTTATAAAAATATATTTTATCTTTGATATTTTTTAAAAGATTGCTGCCGTTCTCCGATTGTCAGGAGGTGGAATTTCGCGACTGTTCATTAATTATTATCTATCCGACAGCTCTTTTAGGATGACGAAACGTGCGATCTCGCAACCACCCTTAGGCAAGGCACCCTTCCCGCTGGAGCGGTCCACGAGCGTGGGCCCGCCTGCATCGACGGCATCAACCAATGTTCAACAATCAGCATCAACCGAGAAACTCTGACGATTTGCACGCTGCCGCTCGTTCTTCGAATCCCGGCGGTAGCTCGTGAAGAAAGGACACGATTCCTGGTTCCGTAGTTCCTTCATTTTGTAAATCCTGATTTTGTACAATGCTCTTCACGCCGATAGATTTTCACGCTGTGAATCATGGTTTGTTTTACAGATTTGTGATCATTCCTGTGCTCTCTGTCCTTTGGTGACGTAGATATTACTGTCTTATTTCATGCTCCTTTCGCTGATTTGCGATTTTTATTTCTTTCAAACATTTTTATTCCTTTGTTTACTGTCCTTTTCAGATTATTCTACCAATATTAGTTTACAATAATTCTTTTCTTCAGATTTCGTTTCACACATTTATGTGGAGTTTCATAACGCCTGCACTCGCTAGATCCTTAATTCCGTGAATCCTTGTACAGCTCGTATTATTTTGTTATACAAAGAGTAGGGCGTGTTATTCCAATAAATAAATTTCTATTACGTGCGTGTGTGGTGCAAAGGAGACTTTCTTTTATATACTTTGCGTCATTTTTTGTATCCACAACTTACCAGCAATCTCACTCTCTTACGCTTACATGGAATGACGAATATTCGTGTATTCTCAGTTTCTTCGATTTACTTCAAGCGAGTGACGCAAAGGTATGAATGGAGAACGTCAATGGGATCTTGTTTAGTGGAATAATGCGTCGAGAATGAGATAACTTGTTGAAAACTGTTACCTGAGTCTCCCTGTTGTTATTAAGGAGAAGTAACGTAATATTACCTGTAACACTGACGCTTAGAGTTAATTAGCGTAAGATCTGTTAGTACTCTACTCAGTGCCAAACGTTAGAGAGAGACGTAATACGTAATGCTCTGCAAAGTCCGCGCCAAAGTTCTTTCAGGGCTACTTCCTCGCGTGGGATACTCATATCGCTCTGGCAGATGTAGTCGCGAAGCAAAAGGAGAGTGTGTCTCGTAAATCACGAAATCACAGGTGGTACTTGTTACACGCGATCCCACCCGTTTGACTTCACGATTTTATTTGTACCAAGGAGATCTTTCGACACCGTGATAATCAAACAAATATTTATTTATCCGCAAACACAGACTGAAGAAAATGCACGGCATATTCTATTAAATTAATCGATAAGGTGAATATATTTGTATTGAACAAAATACTAATTAAGATTTATTGGTAACTTTGAGAAAAAAATAACAAATGCGAATTATTTATAGCACGCGATAACGAATCAAGTAACAATACCGCATAATTTGAAATAATGAGAAAGGCATTTTTTACACGTTATTGTCTCTAAATTGATAGATTTCTTTTTTACTTGATATCTTTTCTTATAGGGCAGTGTTTCAGGAGTGTTTTTCTGAGAATATAACGCGTATATCGAGAAACGGCATTTAGCTGCGAAAGCGAGCGTGTGTCGTTGTTAATCATAAGACGAAGCATCGATATTTAGACGCGATAAGCGGTACAAAAACTACTTCTCTCTTATTACATATAGTCGCGTAAAGCTGTAGCTGGTGATGTAAATATGTTAGACGCTGTGTAAATAATTACGTTGCCCGCGTGGATCGTGTTAGAAATGAGATTATATTTACATGACTAGCTGCTGTAGGTGCTTCGTCGACGAAAAATGTGGCGAGAGAACTGTGCGCGTCGGAGCTGCACGAATTAATTTCGATTCCCGAGATACGGGATTCCATTTTCTTCCATTCCGATTTTACTCACAGATCTCGGAGGAGCTCTTGTAGAAATCTGATCGACGTTCATGGAAGAAAAGAAACGCTCACTCGTCTCAGCTCCGAATCGCACTGACGTGAGTGTGGGAACAGGAGTGACATAATCAATGGTACTTTATTACGCTTAAATCTATCACAATCAACGTTAGAAAGTGGTAAAATCTTTTCTATAGGCGCGATTCGATGTACACGGTGTCCCAAGTCACAATTATTCTTGCGGCGAACGTTATTTCACGCCGTCTTATGGTTGATCTTTTCGAGTGAAAATTTTATCAAGGATTCTATTTTTTTTTACAATATTTACTTTTTACGTGTTTCCAAGATATATTTGAATTTATAATCTCGATTATTGAGTGGTAAATTAATGGTTGCAGGTACAATTAATATTTTAATCCGCAGTTGTTTCATATTTTTATGTATACTCTTGTCATATATTTACGGGTATTTTTATATGTATATTTTAAATTTATTATTATCATTAATATTAACTTCTTCTTATAGATAGAGATAATAGAGCTGGGGAGGTTTAAATTTTCAGTTACGCGCGATTAGTAAATTACGGTGAAGCGAGTAATACGGCGGCGTTTCGCTAGCAATTCCCGTCGCTCTCGGGACATCTTGTAGAGCAGAATCAAGCGCGACGAGGGAGACGGAGATTAATTTGTTGCCATCGTGTGTCTCTCGATGATCCTCTCGCCGTGTTAATCTCCCGATCCTGACACAAGGAAGCATTACGTATTGCTCAAAACGCTATATTAGCTGTGGTACTTGCATTACGCGAGTTAACATTATCATTAACATTGACTGTTTGTATTGTTGTAATATGGCACGAGAAGAATAGCTCTATATATATAAATATATATATATATATATCTATATCTATAAATATAAATGAGAAAATTACGTATACATATACAAGTTGCGAACTTGGGGATATACATGATTGCATATGTACACATAATATGTATATATGTACTTCTACGGGATGTCCGTGAAATTCTGCGTCGGAAAGCGCTCTGTTCTCTCACATAGCGCAAAATCTTGCAGAAGCTGCAAAGTTTGCGCTGTACTGATTCAGTCTTCGGTGCAGCTTATCTGTTCTTCGAGTAATTTTGCATCGTTGTCGACGATGAAAGTTGCCCGAGAATAAAAAGGAGAAAAAGTGGACACGCGCTGTTGTCAGAAATTTCCTTTCTAATGCTTGAAACCGTAAAATTACGTATCAATATTCAATTGCTTTTAATTAGAGTTAAATAATTATTTTCAAATTGAAGGCTAAAGCTAATTGATTAGAACAAAAACTTGTTGATTGCGATTAAGTATGATCTAACAGCTCCATCCTGATCAATTCGGCGGAGATTTGTAAAAGATTTGTGGCGCAGGAAACATTAAATCACCCGCGGGACTGAATTGCAGCGATTTCTATGTGGCGCACGATTTGACGGACATCCTTTAGACACGTAAGCGACTGCAAGAGATATTTTACTTATATATTATATGGACGAACGATCACTATACTGACCGATAACGAGAGTTATATTTTTGTTAGCGTAACATAAAGTGACGTATTGTAATAAAAACTAATCGCAGATCATTGTTTTGTATTACGCGCTCTCGCTCTAGTGTGTAACAATTGTTTTATATATACATTTATGTATATAATAATGTTGACGACTGGTTCGACAGTTTATCTGAGATCGAACTCGCCGCAGCGAGCTACCCGTTTCTTTTCCTAGGTAAGGGAGATGAGGGAGATGACGCTTAGCGGACAAAACTGTATTCCACTTCCTTCATTGGATATTAATAAATGATATATCATTGTCGTTTAAGCCCCCCTCCCTTAATACTTGCTCTTCCCCGTTTCAGCAGATGCGCGAATCTCAATTTTGGCACTCTATTCGTTTATCATTACATTTCATTACACTCTTTTCAGCAAAAAATCTTCGAAATCTTAAACATAATAGTTTAAAAAAATATTCAATTCTTTCAGACTTTTCTTCCTTCTTTCGTCGAGTTTCTTTTTCTTTTCTGATGTCGTGAAGCTGCTGCGGTGAATAATTCTTGTGTGACGTGATAATTGTGATCTGGAAACGTAGAAATGATAACTTTGATGGTTTCAGATTGGTTTCGCCTTTAAATTGGATACTTAATTATTCACTCACACGTCGCATTGAATTAAAAGCGGATGCCGATCAAGCTTTATGCTTGATTTATTGCGCACAAAGGTGAAAGAAATGAAGCGGCACGTATAACAAAGGTATGTGACAAATCGTTTATTTGTTTATAAATGCGATTTATAGGAGGATTACAAACCATAGCATTGATAAGTTAATTCGAATCTACATTTAAATCTTGAATGGAAGCATAAATCATTTATCACTTTTCCGTCTAATGGCTAGACTTCGTTACATTGTTCGATGATATTTTTCTCCGGCCCTTTAATGATTACAATATATTCGTACTCTGTAAATAAAGGCGCACACTTTCACTTGTGCACCGCGACGCGAGACTATAAATCGTCGAGCTGTTTAATTTACATCCTATCGAAATAGAGCTGGGGTGAAGATCGCGGCGGGCCGATCCAACGCGCGACAATGCCAGCTCTCGTCGTTACATCGACTGCGTACACCTTTGTACTAAACAATTCAGCAGCAATTCGAACGAAAGAACGCGCAATAACATATCCGTGCGCGGCAGAACTTATATCGCAAAAGTCACAACATTTATTGCAAAAAACCATACATATATATAATTTAATTAACATTGAACTTGGCTAACGCATTAGAAATGAGCATGAGACCGACGCACGATGAGGCGCAGCGGGAAATTCGACTACCTTAATGATTAAAGTAATAACAAAGACAACTAATCTCTTCCTAACAATAGAAATCGAAACGATTCGCATCGGCGTGAAGGTTCCCTCGAGAACACGTCGAATGAAGTTTCTGAGAATCTATCTACAAAGTTCCCTCATGCCACGATGCTTTCGGACGCATCCCTCGGTCTCTCGCTTGCAAATGCCCTGGACTTCGTAAACGAGTCTCGTCACACCTGAATCCCGAAGAGGCGACAACACGCGCGTTGTACGAGGCAGTGACGTCTAGTAGTCGTTTTTTTTTTTCCTTCCCTTTTCTGGCACGCTTTAATTTAAAGCGAATCTTAGGTAACAGTTCGTATAGCGGTTTTGGTATTTATCAAAAATCGGACAGTGGGGTAACTTAGAATATAACTGGTTAGCTCTTTCCACGGTTACGTAATAAATTTCAGTTTAGTATTATCGAGCACACACGTAATATACAGGTATATCTTCGAATAGCGTCTTGACAACTCTGTAGGCACATTCCCGATTTAACATTTAAAATACACACTTTTCTTTTTTCGGATACACACGACACGGGGGGGGGGGGGGGAGGCGGAAGGAACGAGGGGGGGTGAGGGGGAGACCGATTTGGAAATTGTTTCTCGTCGTCGTCTCTGAGTACACACTTCTCCTATAATACAATACAGTTGCGAGTAACATGATTTCGTAATGTGTATTATACGCACTTATGCAGACACAGTCGGAGCGCAACCTGTCTACGAGAGAATGTTTCCCGTACGGACAAAAATATTTAAGAGAGATGCCGGGCAACGTTTCGCATCTCGACTATATTATATGTTATCATTATAAATAATTAAAAGATTATATTTGCCGGCTAGCGTGGCCTATTGAACACTTGGGTAGTTTGGAGCTTTCGCGGGCGACGCGCAACGCGGGTCGCCCTTCGCTTATGTATTTTTATGCCTATTTTTTTTTTCTCCTACTGCGTTCTGTGAATAAAATTAATATTACATATATGTACACAATGAGATATACATTCTACACGTAACACAGGAACAAGTATGAAAATACTCATTCGGATGGAAATTCAATGTTTCGCAGTAACATTGTTACCATGGTAACTTGTTATCGTCTCTTACACCGTAAATATTTTGACTTCTCGACTTAATTCAGCGTAACAAAAATACTTCTCAGTAAAAAAACATTAAGAAAATTAAATTATGATTACGATAAAAACTGCAAACTACTCTCTTGACTCGAAAAATTGCCTTTATCATTTTGGTGGTATATTTGTATATAAAGTACAGTAGAGTATAAAATATAAGCTAAAAAAAAAGAAAAAAAAAAGAAAAAAAAAGAAAAAAAAAACAATTATCTCAAAATAAGCTTATTCGTTTTGTTTAAATATAAACTGAACTAGATTTCTCTCAACATCTCGCAGTGAGAACGATCGGCGACTCGAAGTTAATACACTTGGGAGACACGACTCTCTACGTCTACATATATATATATATATAATAATAATTCCTGCCTTCCGCATTTTCAAGTCGCAAAAAGACGATCCTTCTCACTCCAGAATATCGATATGCATGATTGTTCAACAGAATGCTGTTTTGCTGCGGAGAACAAACTATGTAAACAAATTTGCAATGCATAGGAACTTTCATCGTTTAAATGCAATTCCATTGTAGTGTCATATACTTCATCTCTACGATTATTACTTAGGCGAACTACTCCTTACGTTATTGCCATGGAAACGTTATTACTGCTGAAAATATTTTCTCCTAAATAGACAATGGTATATGGAACGAATTTTGAGCGGCGGAGCGGTTGCGGTAGCATTTCTCGAAACTTTCCTCGTTCGGGGAGTAATTAATTGTGTTGATAAGTGTTTTCCCTCGTGACCGGATACAAAATAATTTTATATTATTACAGACGTATATGTCATGACGTATATAAATCTTCAGATGTAAAAATATTATCAAGATTAAGTCTTTTTTTTTTAGCTTCTAATGATTACTTAACTTTCTCTTACGTCTCGAGCATTGCGCCCGAGCATTTCCAAATTTTTCAAAAGCTTATCTTACACCGTGATACAAATTACAATGTCGTTACATGGGCAACAATGTGGCTGCTCCATTAGCAAAAATCCCGTCTTTATAAAAATCGATAAAACTGTTACGTAGAATACCGAAATCATCTGTATATTATATTATATAATTACGTGGAAATAATATATACTTTCTTGTAGATTGCTTTCGAATCTAATTGTTCAAGCTGCAATTCTAGGCGCTACCAGGTAACTGCTGCGTCGCCGTTATACCATGTATAGTATCAATCAATATTTTTACACGCAATACGTAAAAAAAAAAGAGGAAAAAAAAGATTAGCTAAATGTAACTGCTGGATATCCAATAAAGTAATCATGTGGACATTGGCATCCACTCCCTATCTAACTATTTCCCCTAAATTATAAAATCCCTCCCTGAGAAAAATCATGAATATCCAGCAGTTAGACAAAAATCTATCTACTAGTCCAATAGTAATGGTTAGCCTATCTCAATCATCTCTGCATCTTCAATGTTGCCGTGACTAACCCCATTGTGTCTAAAAATTCATTGAAAAATTAACATCTGTTTGAAAATTTTATGATTTTATATCTAGTAAGCAAAATGTTATCAACCAATTGCTAACATTTGGCTATCTGAGGTAGTCCTATCTACAAAAAGAGAAATGCAACCAAAACTAAAAGCTTGCACTAACCTGTGAGTTTGTAGATGTGTATTATGGAGATGGAAATGGGTTGTTCGGGGCGAAAAACCACGCATAGCTTTACGAGGACTTCTGGCTCTTATCACTTGTGGTGGCGACATGGCGGTTAGGTACGATTGTTGCGTGTACACATCTTCCAATATGCTTGGTGCTATATATGTAAATCCCTGAGAAAAATTCACATTATTGCAAAACAATTGGATGTGCATATGCGATAGATTTTTTTGTTTCAGGAATGCTAAAAATATCATAAATAAGATAAACAAGAACTCACCTGAAATACTCTATTAGCTGATTCGCTTAAGGTGTATTCCACTGGCGAATCTATCGGTGCGGAAGCGGTAAATTTCTTATCAAACTGCGAAACGTCGTCTTCGCTAGTCAACTTTGGTCTAAAAGGAGGTTCTAACTTCCGAGATATAACGTCTTCCCAAATGATATGTTTGAAAAATCTATGTATTTTTACTTGCTCGCCATCCAGTGGGCCAGATCCCAATCTTTGCGCAACTTGTCTCTATGGAAGGTAATTATACAGTTTTAAAGACAAGAAAAATATTATCTACACTTTATTGTCTAACGACAATATCCAAAACTTTTCAAAATATAGCACTTCTTTTATCGAGTATTAGTTTGTGAACACCAACCTTCAACAGTTTTCGAACAAGATCTCTAGCGTCAGGTGTCAGATATTGCGGTAGAATTAGCTTGCCACGTAGAATCTTGTCAATGGTCTTCTTCCTATTGTCCGAGGTAAATGGCGGCTGAAAATTTAGTAACAATAAATAGTAATATGTAAGAATATGCAATACTTTTTTACTGTCAGTTTATATGTAGAGACAATACATACAGCTCCTGTGAGCATGTCGTACATTAAACTGCCTAAACTCCACCAATCCACTGCTTTTCCATGTCCACTTCTCGTCAGAATCTCAGGTGCCCTTGAGTGGAAAAAAAATGTAATAGTTAACAGACATCGTAATTATACAATTTTCAAGTTATTCGCTATGAAGCTTACATGTATTCGATAGTTCCGCAAAATGTATGTGTGACGGCACCCTCTTGTATATGCTCTTTACACAATCCAAAATCAGTCAACTTAATATGTCCCTCTGCGTCCAATAGAATATTTTCTGGTTTCAAATCTCTGCAATAATTCATTACAAACATGATAAATTCGGAATATATACATATATATTTAATAAATATATATATATTTTTTATTATGTTGCAGGTTAAATCATATTTTCACTCTTTAAAGACTGCAGAATTTGAAAGAAATATATGATACCTGTATATAATTCCTTGCAAATGGAGATGCTCCAGAGCCAATATGATTTCGCACAAGTAAAAGCTGTGAAGCAAATAACATGTAATATTAAATGCTGTTCTAAAGGTTTGTAAAATGTAATTTAAAATTTTCATGATTTACATACCGGGCAGTGTCTTCCAAAAATATTCCTTCATCATTTAAATGTCGAAATAGCTCCCCCCCACACATATATTCCAATATCAGGTATAATTTATGACCAGTTTGAAAAGCATATTTGAGATCCACGATAAACGGATGCTGCATAGAAGCATAAATACATCACAGTTATTATAGATTGCAAATTACATTGCATTATATAATTGTTACTTTACATGCATACATCATTAAAAAGAGAAATATTAACAGTCCAAACAGCTAAATGTTAACAATGTTGGCAGATTGACAGCAAATTTGCTATCAATTTGTTAACATTTGGCTTACTGGAAGAGAATTAATTTTTATTAAAACTTGTCTAAAAAGTATTAAAAGTTACAAACATTTTTCTCTATAAATTTCTGTGCTTGAAAGATTATGAATTGTGTATAGTTAAATGGAAAGCGTTGTAATTAAATTTTTCTTTTTGTCAGAGGATGAAAATATAACCAACCTTTACAGACTCCAAAATGTTTCTTTCAGCTTTAGTGTGAGCTGTATCTTTCTGATTTCTTATAATCGATGCCTTGCGTAATACCTGTTTTAAAGAGCACAAAAGGATATAATTTTAGATAAATAAAAAAGAGAATTATGAATACTATCCCATATGAAATAGAAGGTAATATAAAAAATGTCGACTAATATATATATTCCGCGCCACGTGGTTCACGATGACTCATCTGAATTTTCCCTAGACTGTTTCGTATTTTCATTATGAAGAAAAGATACAATAAACACAATATCAATAATATTCACACATAATTAATGTGCACAATGTAGTTATCACACTGGTTACGAATAATATATGATCATACGACATAATAATATTTCTTATTCTTTTAAATATTATCTTATATGAATATAGAATAAATTTGTCATTGATGACTCACACAACGTGAATATAATAACATTAAAGCAGCATATTAAGGATTAAGATTATTGATACAATTATTTTAGAGATAAAGTTGCAAACACCAGGCCTATTTTAATGATTGAAAAATATGTAGAAAACTCGCAGCGGAAATAATGAAATTGTTAAGATACGTGTATAAATCTTACAAATTTCTAGAAGTTTTTATATTCGTAAAATTGTTTCATATTATTAGAAATGAAAAAATAAGAATAACTTTGCACAATAGCATGCAATACAGAGCGGTTGAACGTTCTTAAATTTTTAATACGATTGCAATTATCTTTTCTCGAAAGCGAGAACCGGTTACAATCTGCTCGCTTGACAAGCGTTATATTTCAAGACGAGAGATAATGCATAAACAATTTCAGTACCTTCATAGCAAAGAGCGTGCCCCTGTCGTTTCCGGTTTTTTTGCGCACTTGAAAAACCTTGCCGTAGCCACCTTTCCCGATCACTTTGCACAACTCGAAATCCTGCGGCCCGAGCCTTCCGCAATCGCGATTGACATTGTGCTCGCATATCGCCACTGTTTCCACCGCGTCCGAGCCACAGTACGAGCTAAAAAAGCACAAAGAAAAAAATTCGTCAGCATATCTACGCGTGAGAGCCCAGAGGCGACCGCGTGCGAAACACGCGCGCAGATTTACTCACTTTACGATCTCATTCACATCCAGCACGGCGTCGCATTCCTCCTACGAAAGGAAACAGATGCAACGTTAGATGCATTCACGTGCGCTCCAGTGAGCGCGTTTAACACATGCAGAGAAATTGTATCGGGAGTGTCGCGCACGGAAAAAAAATCTTGGATAAAGGATCTTTACCGCGCCGATCTCAATGACGTCCGAAGAGTCGTCCTCCGATGTCTCGTCCCTCTGCAATAGGCCCGCGTCCTGCAGTTCGATGTCGAAGATCGCCGACATCGTGCTCGTCGTGCTGATCGTGGCAGTCAAATCGGGAAGATCTAGAGCTGCTTGGTGAATGTTGAGCACACCAGACGATCCGGATGCGTGGTTGTCAGCGCATCAATCCTTTGACCTCGTCGTCATGCAGCACGGACGAGTTGCACCGACGGTATGCTGCCTAGCTTACGGAGGGCCGTCGGGAAGCGTGTTGGGGAGCGGCGGATTCAGAACGGCCTTGTCGTAACCACGCCGGTAGAAGAGGGGATGACTACGATTTCATACCAATCGCGTTATGCGTCACGGCTCCCACGCTGTTCTTCTACCTGACTGCGGCCGGGCGGCAATTTTAAACAAAACAATTGTTTTCTCCCGAAGTAATCACATGCGCCATCCAGTACGATGAAAAAAAAAAAGAGAGAAAACGGCGCTCTCGTGTTACGTAAAATTATATATTTATTTCTATCTGCGTAACAATTAATGGATGAAAGTGGAAGCTTGCATCGTACATTTTTCTCAACAAGAGCATTTTTACGGTTCGCATCTTTCATCAATGAATAGCTTGTTCTATTGAGTGTGAAAAATTTAATTTTTTGTATTGCACTTAAATAGCACGCGTCATTCTCGGAAGAAAGATGCTTCAACATTTATTTTATATCTAACATCTTTTTTTTGTTTCAGAGTCAGAGCTTCGTTCTTCCCACTTTGTTTCCGAGTATCGCATATATCAAATTCGCGGAAAGTACGTCATCGCTCAGTCTTTGACGTCATAAGCACCCATATAGCTGCACCGTTGCAAATTGTGCAACTTTGCGAAATCGCAATCAGGATCAGGTACGACGCCGAATTCGACGTCGAGTGCAGGAATTATTTTATATGCTGAATAAGGGGATTATATTAAAAGCGATTTATTGGCTAATTATTGGTCCGTTTACTCGTTATCGACGTGTGTGATAAAAACAAAAATGAGCCAAGGTCGATAACATATCGTATACTATCAGAGATAAAGGTAGGCGGATAGCACTTGCAGTCGACAAACTTCACAAGTTTCTCAACATTCGTGTTTTGAATAGGACCGATCAGCTGGTGAGATCTGTCAAAAATGGTGCGGCGTCATCACGTGCAAGGATATGAGAATTTTCTCAAGTACGCGGAGGACCTGGAGGCCGTCGAGCCGACTTACATCCTTTACACCGGTACAAAACTGCCGGACACCGGCAAGAGTTGGTGCTCCGATTGCGTAGAAGGTAAATGGATTTGCATATACGTCAATGACCTAACCTCTTTTATGTTTTGTTTTCATCACACTCTGCAACTAGGCAAGTAAAAATTTGACAAGCGTTTACATTTTGATTAGGTTTGGAAAATAATAAAGGGCTAACGATGAAACAATGGAAATAATTAGTATAAGATGTAAATTTCCTTAGCATTGAAAAATTGACATTCGCTTAACACTAGTTCCAGAATAAATATTGTTCCATTCGTCATTTAGAACTTTTCCATTAAAATGCAATTACTGAAAATATGGGAAGAATTTAGAAAAGGGCTTATTCGTTTTTGATTGAGATTCCCTCTACTTTATAATTATTTTTTAATGGTGCATATACAGTACATATACAGTACAGAACAAAGAAGTAAACATGTAAATATTAGTATAATGTCATTTTCATTTACTTATCTTCATTTTACTTGGATCATAAAGACTTCTACCGACATGAGCTATATATCTTATTCTTTATCTTATCATACTATATGATTTTTCAGCTGAGCCATTTATTGAGAAAGGTTTCCAAGGAGCATCCGATAAAACACAATTAGTGATAGTAGAAGTCGGAGACCGGCCATTGTAAGTTAAAGTATACTGTTTTATTATAGCAACTGTTTTGTTTTTATTCAATCAACTAATTTGTTTTTATACAAATACCATTGCCACGTAGTAATTACTATCTACATTAACATGGAAGAAAACTTAGAACTTGTTTTTTATATATTATTCTAGTTGGAAAGATCACAATTGTCCATTCAGGACGAATCCTGTTACCAAATTAAAGGTCTTGCCAACTCTGGCTAGATGGGGCACTCAGAAACGTTTAGAAGGCGACCAATTATTAAAACCTGAGCTTATCGATATGCTACTGACGGATGAGGACGACTAAGTGCTTCATTTTATAATACATTTTTTGTATTTTATATAAAAAGGTATATTATATAATTCTCAATTCAGTTATATGTTGAGACACATTTTCATGTCCCAAGCCATATATTGCCCCATCCTTTTTTACTATCACTAGCCACTTCCATTATATTATAATATACTGTGCTCGTTTCGGAGAAAGAAATAATCTAACGATCTGTGATCTATGAATCAGTAATCTATGAACAAAGCTATGAATAAAAATTAACATATAACGAATCACATAACAAATTTAAGTAGTAAAATATACATCTTGTGCTATTATATTAAAAAATTCAACGCAATCTTTAAAATCATGATCAAATTCTACTTGTTAGATATACATTGGACGGTAAATCTGTAAATTCGATCAAAAGATTTATTTTTTATTCAAATTTATAGCAAAATCTGCGTGCAAACAAAAGTCACTGCACTAGGAAAAATGTAAGCGTTACTTTTGAATTGCACGTTGTATAAGATAATTATTTCCTCAAGTATTTAATTTAGTTGAATTTATTATTAAGTAAAGAAATGTGTTTTAAAATCCAGGATAACTGTAAATTTTCTAACAAAACCTGTTTTGTTAGAAATTACGTTACATTCTGTATTTCCGCCGGTGGTAGCATACGTACGGAATAATGAACCTTTTTATTCCTTAGGAAACTGTAACTATTGTCGAAAACGATGGAATCTGAAAGAAAAAAGTTTAATATTATTTGTGGTTTATTAATCGGCGAATTATTCGATATGAACTTACAGGTTGCCGGCGCTTCGCAGGTCAGAAGTCCCATCTCTTCCGACTGATGAGATGCGACCCTTCGAACAGGTATAACTTCCGTTCGTATTCCGTTTGACGCATCCTTTTTGAGAATCCCGAACTTAATATCATGACCCTCGCTTCGAAATTCCCAACTGCACAGATGAGCCGCACGCTTAATGGTAAGAGAAACCAGATATCTCCAAGATATTTACCTTAATATAGAACCTTCTTGGGGCGCGGAGATATCGAACTCCAATTTTCCGCCTTTCCGTACGATAACGGTGGTATAATCTTCGTTTGACTTGATATTATCCGCATTGGCGTACATTTCTTTAGGTATCTTGCCACCTTGGCAAACCTGAAAACAATCTCAAATATTATTCTCTGAGATGCAACATGATAAATTAATAACATTTGAAAGAAAGTAAATATGTATATTGTGAGCAATTGAATACTTTATCGTACGTATCACTAGGTATCTTATCATCTTTACATCTGAAAACAATCTCAACCACTTCTGAGATGTAAAATGATAAATTAATATTTGACACAAAAAAAGGTACATTTATTATTTAAAATTACGACTCAGAAAAATGGCCCACTAAAATATTTTTCCAAGTAGAGCTGTTAATTTTTAATATTAAACATTTTGCGGTACTTAATATTAATTAAAGGACAAGTCTATTATTCATATAACATATTAAACATATTAAAATTTTCATATTTCGCCGAATGTCATGTTTGAATTGTACAATTCGATAAATTGTATAATTTGACAAATTGTATAATTTTACGAAAAACGTAAATTGACGAAGTTTCTTACTAACTTTTGTCGCAAGTCTTGGGTTGCCATCCGGATCCGTTAACGACCCACCGAAATGGGCTGGTAATTGATCCTTTGGTATTACTTTCAATATCATAGGTTGCCATTTCGAAGGATCAGCTTTGTAAATTTGTATTTTCGAAATTGTGTATTCATTCATGAATTTCTTGACAATGCTGAAAGCAAAGGCGAACACCCTTGGAGCTGCAATAATAATTTTAGAAATTACAAAAATTGCATTATTAAATACTTTTTTTTTAGTATATAAATCATTCAGTAAAGCGGTTTTCTTATTTTTATGAGCAATAGATTTATAATCGGC